GGGTTTGAGGTCCCCAAAGGGGGTTTGAGGTCCCCAAAGTGGGTTTGAGGGCCCCAAAGGGTTTTGAGGTCCCCAAAGGGGGTTTGAGGTCCTCAAAGGGGGTTTGAGGTCCCCAAAGGGGGTTTGAGGTCCCTAAAGTTGGTCTGAAAGTCCCTAAGGTTGGTTTTAAGGTCCCCATAGGTGGTTTGAAGGTCCCCAAGGTTGGTCTGAAGCTCCTTAGGGTTGGTTTGAAGGTCTCCAAAGTTGGTTTTAAGATCTCCAAAGTTGGTCTGAAGGTCCCCAAAGGTGGTTGGAAGGTCCCCAGAGACGTTTCAAAGGTTATTGTAGGGTCCCCAAGGTTGGTCTGAAGGTCCCCAAAGTTGGTTTAAAGATCTCCAAGGTTGGTTTGAAGGTCCCCAAAGGTGGGTTCAAGTTTCCCAATATCCCCAAGGTTGGTTTGAAGGTCCCCAAAGTTGGTTTAAAGATCTCCAAGGTTGGTTTAAAGATCTCCCAAGGTTGGTCTGAAGGTCCCCAAGGTTGTTCTGAAGGTCTCCAAAGATGGTTTGAAGGTCCCCAAAGTTTGTTTGAAGGGCCCTAAAGTTGGTCTGAAGGTCCCCAAGGTTGGTTTAAAGATCTCCAAGGTTGGTCTGAAGGTCCCCAAAGTTGTTCTGAAGGTCCCCAAAGTTGATCTGAAGCTCCCTAAGGTTGGTCTGAAGGTCCCCAAAGGTGGCTTCAAGTTTCCCAATACCCCCAAGGTTGGTTTGAAGGTCCCCAAAGTTGCTCAGAAGGTCCCCAAAGCTACTTCCAAGACCCCCCAACCCCCTCTAAAAACCCCCCACCCAAAATTGATCTTCCTCCCCTCCCTCCCAAGGCCAAAGCGGCGCCGGCAACAACTGGGCCAAGGGCCACTACACGGAAGGGGCGGAGCTGGTGGACTCGGTGCTGGACGTGGTGCGCAAGGAGGCCGAGAGCTGCGACTGCCTGCAGGGCTTCCAGCTCACCCACTCGCTGGGCGGCGGCACCGGCTCGGGCATGGGCACCCTGCTCATCTCCAAGATCCGCGAGGAGTACCCCGACCGCATCATGAACACCTTCAGCGTGGTGCCGTCGCCCAAGGTGTCGGACACGGTGGTGGAACCCTACAACGCCACCCTCTCCGTCCACCAGCTGGTGGAGAACACCGACGAAACCTATTGCATCGACAACGAGGCCCTCTACGACATCTGCTTCCGCACCCTCAAGCTGACCACGCCCACCTACGGCGACCTCAACCACCTGGTGTCGGCCACCATGAGCGGCGTCACCACCTGCCTGCGCTTCCCCGGGCAGCTCAACGCCGACCTGCGCAAGCTGGCGGTCAACATGGTGCCCTTCCCGCGCCTCCACTTCTTCATGCCGGGGTTTGCCCCGTTGACCAGTCGGGGGAGCCAACAGTACCGGGCCCTCACCGTGCCCGAGCTCACCCAGCAGGTGTTCGACGCCAAGAACATGATGGCGGCCTGCGACCCGCGGCACGGCCGTTACCTCACCGTTGCCGCCGTCTTCCGCGGCCGCATGTCCATGAAGGAGGTGGACGAGCAGATGCTCAACGTGCAGAACAAGAACAGCTCCTACTTCGTGGAGTGGATCCCCAACAACGTGAAGACGGCCGTGTGCGACATCCCGCCGCGGGGCCTCAAGATGGCCGTCACCTTCATCGGCAACTCCACCGCCATCCAGGAGCTCTTCAAGCGCATCTCGGAGCAGTTCACGGCCATGTTCCGCCGCAAGGCCTTCCTGCACTGGTACACGGGCGAGGGCATGGACGAGATGGAGTTCACCGAGGCCGAGAGCAACATGAACGACCTGGTCTCCGAGTACCAGCAGTACCAGGACGCCACGGCCGAGGAGGAGGAGGATTTCGGCGAGGAGGCCGAAGAGGAGGCTTGAGGAGAGGAGGAGGAGTTGTTGTCGTGGAGTCCCCTCCCCTTGTGTGTCGTCCCGGAGAGCCGGGGGCAGCTGAGGCGCCGCGCGGCCCCCGGCGGCGTCATCGGCGGCCTCGGTGGCGGCGGAGGGTCCCCAACCTTCATCATGGGCATTGGAGAGTCCCCAGTCTTGGTCATGGTCAATGGAGAGTCCCCACAGTCATTGGAGAGTCCCCAACCTTCATCATGATGATCCTCAAGTCCTTGCTCTTCTTCATCATCGTGGAGATTCTTCAACGTTCATCGTTGACATTGAAGAGTCCCCAGCCTTGGTCATGGTCAACAGAGAGTCCCCAACCTTCATCATGGTCAATGGAGAGTCCCCAACCTTGGTCATGGTCAATGGAGAGTCCTCAACCTTCATCATGATGATCCTCAAGTCTTTGCTCTTCTTCATCATC